TGTTATTATAAAGACCAGCTCAATTTTTGGACTGAAAAGTTTGTAACTACTGTAGAAGTGTGGTAAGGCTGCATGGAATATTGGGATCTACATTACTCATTGAAGGATTGATACAAAAAATCAGACTTTAATGTTTCATTAGAGATTCCTGATCTACTGTGGACTATGGAATAATGCCACAGAGGCACTAAATTAAATTAATCAAGCAACAGGGTAAGATATAATATAAAAATATCACATTAAGAGAAAGTGAGTTAGTATCAATGCATCAAATTAATGATGCTGAATTATACTTAAAATACTAGCAGAGCCTTACAGTTTCTAATCACTTTGAAGGTTCTATCAGACTTGATGCCGAATTATACATCCAGATTCCACTTGAGTAGACTGGCAGAACACTCTTAGTAAAAAGGTGATATTTGAAATTAATGTTATAATGCAATACCGATTGGAGTAACGCCAGTAAATTCTGTCTACAGTATTGGCGGTTAGTTTTCTGTCCAATTTTTCCTAAAGCAGTGTTTAATAACTGAGTAAAACCACAGAGTCTGTTGCCTTTTAGATTCTGTATATCAACAGGGACTTTGATAATACCTAGACTGTTCTTGTTGCATGAATAAATTCTCTCTCTGCGCCCTCTGCTGGACATAACATAATCTCACCTTATGAAAACTGGGTTTTTTAGAGTGATTGTAATTAACAATATAAAATTCCAAAAAATACAATTCCGGATTATTTTTTAAAATGCGTTTGAATGGAATTACTGCTACAATAGTGGAGGTCTGAGTAATTGAGTGCTTGTCTATATTGTAAAATTAAAGGTCTGTGCCTGTAAAAGTTGGACTTTTAACAATATGCAAACCCAGTATTTTTATAAATAGATATCATAAAGCTTATGGTAATAGTAGTTACATAATATTGTTTTGAGCCCCAACAGTCTTAACCACTCAAGTCCTGAGTAACTGCCACTTCAAAATGAGTATACTAGCAGCAAATTCCAGCCTTAGATTAGAGCAGGATATATTTTACCATAGATCAAAGCAGATTTGGCCCAAAATATTAACTGTTTTCCTCTGTCCAAAGCTAATATATTCTTTTCTACTGTAAATTTTCAAGTGCGATTTTCTTTTGAAGTTAAGAATTTAATATATTGGGATATAAACTGACGCTATAACACTGGACTGTAATGGAGGATGCAGAAAGTGAACAGTCTAATAAAATGAGAATTATTTATTAACATTTAAAGATCACTAGTAGAGCTTGTAAAATTCTAGATAAATTTTTTCTGGTAGTGTCTTGTGATCAGTTTACTCTCTGAAAAATTTATCAATTTGCAGCTTTGTTAAAGAGCTCTTGTGATTTTTTTAATCTTCCATTTACTACCTTCTAGTTTTCTGTCACTTAGCCAAATACAAGAATTATCACTGAAATCTTTCACTTGAAAGTAAATTAGTTACATAGATGCAAGCTGAATTTTTTATGCCATCATGATTGAGTAGAAAAAGAGATGAAGTTTACTTTGAACTATGTAGTCAGTTTACTTCTTTGCTTTGTTTCTTTTTTTTTTTTTTTACTGTAGGTACTTTTCTCACAGATAGCTGAGGCCTTTTTATTAAGACAAGGTTTTTTTATTACATCTACAAATCATTATTAAGACTCACCAAGACCCACCTCTTCTCACTTCTTTGAAAGCTTCAGTAAAGTGCATTCCAAGGGAAAACCAGCCTTGTATGAACTTAAATTACTTAATCTGTTTCTGCTTTCTTACTAGTATGAAAACTATCTTTGCAATACTCTGTCAGTACAGCATATGAATTTTAGACCATCCCAGACTTCATCTTTATATCTACTACTTTAATAATCAGTTCATGCATGCATACAAGTAAATACTTTTCTGTTAGTCTTTGATTGGGAAAGCATGATGAAACATAATGTAAGACTTGATTTTGTGCGTCCAAGTTCTATTTGCTGATTATTTTATTTTCCAGCAACATCCACATACATGTGCTGTGAACAGCCTATAGTCACAGTGATGTATAAAACATAGTCTTCAAGTTTGGTCTATGTTGATTTACTGAATATTAATAAAATAGTCACTTGATAGACTTGTAGTGGTTTAAAATGTCACTTAAATTTTACAGTACGTGGTAGTAAAACACCATTTAAAATCAGACCTCTATCTTGTACAATGACATATATACACTGAGAAGATTTAAGCTGTTTATATTACATGGCAAGCTTTGCAAAGCTGCTTTGCCAACTGCAGTTCTCAAACATATCTAAGTATGTGAGCAGGGGGAATGGACCTTGTCGTGCAAATATTCGTGCAAATAGACCACTACATAACAACCATAATAAAGATATGGAGAATGGGGCTCAAATTAGCTAATTGCACAGATTAGCAAACACCTCAGATTAATTAACAGTTCTGTTGTCCAAATGTGGGTAAAATAAGTACTGTAGAAATTCGAAGACCAGAAACACCGTGTAAAAGCATATCAGAACATACTTAAAATACGATGGGTAATAATTCTGCAGACTTGGCTACAAAAAGTAAAATATGAAATTGCTTTATTTCTTCTGCAGAATAATTATGGTAATCATGTTTCTGAAACTCCAGCCTACAAGTTAAACAATATATAATACATTAAAGAAATCAGAGCAGCATGCATTTTCCTTATATCTACATGATTTCATAGAACTATTTCAAAATTTGAATGATAAAAATTTATTAATTCCAACCTTGTAAAAATTTTTACTTGAGGAGAGACCTATAATTATGAGCTGAAAAATCAGAAAGCAAATTATCACCATAAAAATGTTTTTGTATGTAAAATAAGTGAAGATGCATACTGTGTAGAAAACAGTAGTTTATTCCCAAGAAAGAAGACCCTTCAGTGGATTTCTTTTTGAAGCTTGCATACAAATAAGACATGCATGTCCACTGAAGTACCCTTTTTGGCGTTTCATGATAGAGAAGAATTAAGATTGGGATTTAATCAGGTTTTGGGGGGTTTTTGATGCTTTTTTTTCTTCTCCAAACAGCTCTAACAATTTCCTCATTTAAAGGCTACAGGGAATGTAGAAATAGAGGTTACATTAGATATTCCAAAAGTGCATACCACTGTGTCGCTTCACAACTTCAGAATAGAAGTCCTAGAATCATGGATCGTTTAAGTTGGAAAAGACCTTTAAGACTGGAACACATATTTATTTGTTAGGTTTATGCAGTTTTTATATGCTGCTGGGTAGATCTTCCTCTGGTGGACCTGCACCTGAGAGCAGTGATCTGAGGGAGCATATTAATTAATGTGAATAATTAAATTTACCAAGTAATGGCATAACCAACTTTTTTAAAAATTCTTATAGTTGAAGTGACTTGGAAGCAAGTGGTTAATATAAAGCCTAGTGTACATTGGTTGATTGGCTTTATCGAGGCACTTAATCCAGAAAACCCCTTTCTTTGCGTTACACAGTATGAAAACTCAGGCTAACTGAAAATGGAAAGTCAAGGAATGTTTCATTAAGCCAGGAAGATCTTTTTCACTAACAACTCATCATTAGAGATATTAATGAATATCAAGAAATCTCCAGATTTCAAGATAGGTCAATTTTCAACAAGAAATGTTGGGTATTATGTAGCTTTCATGTTAAGGACTAAGTATAAAACTAAGCCTAATTTATAATCAAAATAAAATCTGTGCATGCAAAAACCCTATAAAAATGTTTTCTGGAAATCTACTTGTTACTTCAGAACTTTTCTCCTTTGCCACTACAAAACTCTGAGCATTTACCTAATGAAACTTGCATTTTATCGTAAGTAGATGAGTGAAGCCCATTTTACCTTAAGAAAAAAAAAAAGAAGAAAAAAAGAAACAAGTCTCCTCTTGAACTAATATTTATCTTCTTTTGCTACTGACTCTCTTTAAATCAGTGGGCATGAGGCAAGATGCTTAAGAGCAGGATACAGCCCAGTGCTCTTTCAGGAGAAACAGTAAGAGCTATGTAGGTAAGTTGGGAGGGACTTTCTCCCCTGCTGTGGTGTAGGAACATGAGCAACAACTCCAAATCTTACTCTCTGAAGTAGAATTGAGTGATTAAAACCAGATGTAAACAAGATTTGGTGCTACTTATGCAGCTTAGATAGAATTTGTTGAACTTGAAAGTGAGGTGACATGGGAAATTCCAACAGTTAACATGAAATGGAGGTGAGTGGTGCCCTCCTGTCTCTGTGCGATACTAGTGGTAATGTTTCACATTCATTATCTTATTCTGAGCTGGTCTTTACTAATATATTTACAGATCCTTGGTAGTATACTCTGTAGCAGGATGCTGGATTTTGAAAACAGAACAGTTATTTCAATTGTTATATTACCTAATCTGAAAATTACTACGATGAGTAAAATCTGTCTGACTAGTCTTTGGTATCTGTTGAATCTGACAGCAAAGCATGATAAAGAAAAATGTTTGAATGACTTCTTGTGCAAACATTTCTTATAACTTATATATGTCCTAAATATTCTATATTGTTTCATAGTCTTAAAATCTACTTTAATATTCATTCATATATTTTCAAAACCAGATAATTAGAACTTTTGCAGTAGTTAAATATTGCTCAGTCCAGCTTTGGGGCAGTGGGAGGAAGGGAGACACGCGTAGTCCTGGACACTTCAGGCATTGTTCTTTTGTTCACCCCCAACCTCTGAACTTAGACTGTTTGAAAAACAAGGTGTAACATTAGTTTTAAAAAAGTACCCAGGAGTCCTACATATTGTGTGGCATCACCTAGCAACAGGACTGTTTATTAATTTTAGTCTTTATTACATCGAAGTTGTGGCCAGAACCTGGTTCTGCTCTGCAGGTAGAACGAATTGTTGTGTGAAGCCATAATCATTTAGGGGCAAATGTTTTACTCTATATTTTTACCTAAGAATGAGGGATATTTCTTAGTGACTGTGACTGCGAAAGCCCTGTAACTCTATTGCTGGTGCTGATTCATTTTAGTCGCCCTGATTCTTGTTCATGTTTCTTCTTGGTGTGAAAACCATCTCCAGGAGAGGTTGCCTTTCTATTGGGTGCATGGATAAGTCATTGTTTTTCTGGATGTTGTTAAGGCCTCTTCCTTTCATTGTCTGTACTCTGCACCTTCTCAGAAGAGTCACCAGGATTGACTTCATCATTACCATGGCAATAAACTTTCCTACACAGCCCCGAGGGCCAAATCCAAATGGTTGGAAATAGCGTGAAGGAACCTGCACAGAATAACATGAGGAATAAACTTTAAGGCAATTTTTTTTTTTTTTTCATAAAAGTAACCAAGATTAGATGAACACTGGTAGTAAATATACTCTGAAAACTTGTGGCAAGATTCTCTTAGGAACAATTACTTCTTCCCTTTCCGCTGTACAGCCCTCCCACCCAAATCAAGCCAAGAGAGGGATGCAGACAGAAGGTATGCCACTTCAGATGCTAGGGTAGCAGGGAATATAAAGCTAAGCAGTTGAATTCTGCGCATGTATTTCAGTCTGTTCATCCTGTGACTGCAGGGATTTTATCGTAAGCTATGGAATGGAACAGAACTTTTGCTCTTCAATATGCATTAAAGTCCATTAGACACTTTTTCAGAAAACGTGCGTTACAAAGCTCATTAATATCTGAGGTACAGGCTGATGCCATGTCTAAAGATAAACATAAAGCCATACACCTTCAATTGTCATTAAAAAGCTAGTGTTCCTGAGAATTAATCAGTCATAAAATGTAATGTTGCAAAATTTGTTTGATATTTAATAGAGCGATAACACTTATAAAATTATTTCCCATTCCATCAACTAAAATGTGAAATGCAGGATTCCCAGAACTATTGCAGAATGCCAGTTTCTCCTACTTTTATTGATATTGAATAGATCAGTTATCCAAAACAGTCCCAACAGCATGAATAGTATTGCTAATGAGGTACAAAGATACTTGTTATGAATACGAAAAAGCAGTCTGGCTACAAATAAATTACTTTTCTTCATGTAGTTGTGTTGTTTTGTTTTTTTTTTAAATTAGCTCTGTTCTGACCTAACCAAAGAATACAAAAGGTTGCTTTATATGAAATCATATAGAAAAAAGTGTCCTTCGCTCATTTTCAGATGAGAAAAATGTTTTCTGTTTAACTTTTTTCAAATAAAATGAGCTGTACTTTCGTAAAAATTATAGGTAAATACAAGTGTTTATAATACAGAGCAAGTACAGCAGCTGGCAGCATAGCACAGTGGCAAATGCACAGCCTGGAAAAATGGAGAAATTCTAACAATGCCATTTTACCATAAATAGTGGTGTGGATTGCTATTCACACAGAGAACTGTGTGAAAATTGCACCTGCTAGAATAATTACATGGCAAATAGAATGCACCAAGTCCAATAGAACATGTGTGGTTAAATATTTGGTCAAGGGGAAATATTTTTAGTAGCAAAGTGTACTTATAAAATAAACAAGAAATCTATTTTGATAGAAATACTCAGAATGAAAATGATGGGTGTCAAAATGGAAACTATTCATGGTGAATAGTTACTTCAATAAACTTAATTGCTTACTCTTTTCTTGAATTTTCTACACTGACTTTTTTCCTCATCAGTTGTTTTTAATTCTGTGTGCAGAGTTTGCGATGAGTAACCAAACTATGGTTTAGAAATGTTAACCAGGTTGTTTAGTGCTCACTTGTGTGTGTGGCCCACATGGTACTTCCAGATTTTTGATAGGAAACATGTAAAACTTAGAGGCATGTTTCTAGCTTAAACATTCATGTCTTTGGTTTCATACTTTCCTTAATTATTTCTTCAGATGTTTCTACTAGTAAGCCTATTTTTGGTGTACCAAAGTGAATCACTCCTTCTTTCTTTAAAACTAAAATCACTGTCTTTGGATGCCTATGTGTGCAGCTGCTAACATCTCAAAAATAATTTCCAGGTAATAAAATTACTTTCTAATTTTTTTTGTTAAGGCAAAATGATATCTATGACAGCTGTAGAAAATGTCAACCCTTTAACTTCAATCCTATTCAACCTTAATATTTGACAAATCACCAGGAAATGTAAGAGAAAGCTGGCATACCAGGAAAATGTGTACATCTATGATAGTAAGGCTAATGTTGTGCAGCTGAAATTCCCTTCGTAGAACTAATTTGATTATGCCCTCCACTCCTCCATAGCTCTTTACTTTAGGTGTCTTTCCAGTTCCCTCACAGGGATGCTAACTGAACCTCGGCATTTCGTATTTTGTGCTCTCTGTCACATGGGTAGCAGTATCTTCTGCTTCCATCTGCACTGGTTAACAGCAGAAAAACAAGGAGTCAAATGTGTCACACAATCAGTCTGTTTTCTTTTGATACTGCTTTAATCTCTCCAGATGATTAGTGCTGAACAAATAGTTTTGCAAAACATTTGATTAATCAGTGATCAGAGGTCTAACTGAAAGTGAATAATCTGAAGATTGAATTATGATAGTAGAGGATTGCAACTAGGAAAAAAATGTTCACGTATTGCTCGTGATACAGGACTCTAATATAGACTAAAGAAAATTCTAGTTCTTCTGGGAGATTATCACTTAAAATGAAATGCTATGTTGAACTAGGACTGAATTACTCAACATCTGCAGTACTGAGTTGGTTATAAATTAGGATTTCCAATTTAGTTTATTAAAATATTTATTTTGGAATTAAAAAAAAAAGTGAGAACAAAGTAACCCTTAAGAGTTACTGTGCTGCTTCAGTTCTCCAGAGAATCCCCAGATGGCCTCAGCAATGTGTTGTACTGCTTGCAAGGCTCTAGCTCCCTGAAGCCTCTTTATTTTGTCCAATGTCAGGGATACAGTGGGAACTATGTGTGTGTCTATCAAATTTAATCAGAAATTTATATCAAAATTAGGATGTCTGAGAAAACTTTTTCATATATATTTTTTTTTTAATTTAAAGGCACTTTGACAGGAAGGTATCTGCCCAGCTTTAATAACAATGATGAGCAGGATGTGTAGCTAACTAGGGACTTAGACAAAAGGAGAAGTATCATATGGTCAGAAAATTCTTGATCAAAATAAGAGGAAGAGACATTGACAGTAAATAATACCCAACTTCCTATAAGAAATAATATAGAAAACTTACATTTTTCTCAAAATTTTCGAGAGAAAACTCATTTGGCTTTGGAAAGAATTCAAGCTTATGCATACGTCCAATATTGAGAATAATGTTTGTCCCCTTTTTCACAGGATAGCCGTCAATCACATCATCTTGTAAAGCTTTTCGCATGATCAAGTCCACAACTGGCTGGTATCTCATGCTCTCATAAATAAAATTCTCCACAATTTTTAAGTTTGGCATGTCATCACTCTGTATATCTCTGTCACCTTGTGGAATAAAACAGATAGTGAAGAAGTTGGTTACAAATTTAATAGCTTCATTATACAAATGCCAAAACATTTTTGGAAGATTTTGAGTTCTTAAAATGGTAGGAAGGAGCCAATACTTTCTGAGGAGTTTTATGTAGCTTTACATATTTGGGTAATCTGGTATATTGTTCATCAGCTTAAACTCTTTAACTTAACAATCTTCACACCGTCTTCTTAATACCTTATGAGTCTTTGTTCTGCTTTCTTGTCAGTGTCAAAATGGATGACAGCAGAATAAAATTTTGATTTTCTCTAATCTTTCTCTTCTACAGTTGTAG